TCCGTTGCTTTAAGAGGCCAGGTTTCACAACCGTCCAGTAGGGTCGAACGTACTGCTGCATTGTACACTCTACCCTCCAGGGAAAGAGTGATGTCCCGCCGGCACCATAAGTGGCGAAAGTTAGAAAAAGCACCTCGAACTTTTGCTATACGGTTCGTAATCTCATCTTCAATCCCACGGGCGCTAATGCAACTTCCTAGATAGTTGGATTTTTGAATGACTTCTAGCTGATCCCCACCAAGGGTCAGCGAAGGAGGCAGTCCAGGCCAATCTTGGAGGAACGCTTTGCACTTCGATGGTGCAAAGTAAAGACCGAAGCGGCTGACTTCCAGTGCTAATCTGTCCAGTGCCGCTTGGCACGTCTGGGAGCTGTCACAGATTAGGGCAATATCGTCAGCATACTCTAAGTCGAGAAGTCGTTCTCCTGGGAGCAGACCTACCCTTTCTAAGTCGTGTCCTGTGAACGAGATTTCCATGACTTCGTCAATAGCGAAGTTGAAGAGGAAAGGTGATGACGGGCATCATTGTCTCACACCGCTGGAGGGTGACGACAGCTTGCCGTAAGCCATCACTGTGCTTGATCTACGCGCGTATAATGCTCGGATAATATTTACCTTTTTCTTAGGTACACCCTTCCTGAGTAGACAGTCCCAAAGTGCAAGTCTATCCACAGAATCGAATGCACCTTTGATATCGCGGAACACGACAACGATGGGCCGCCGATATGTGTGACAGTGCTCCAACAACTGACGCGAAGTGAAGATGTGGTCAATGTAGCCACGAGCTCGACGAAACCCGGCTTGCTTTTCACGATTATGGCTTTCACGAGTGGCAGTTAGTCTGTGAAGGATGACAGAGGCAAGCAATTTGGAGGCGATGGAGATCAGACTGATTCCTCTATGGTTATCGCATTCCGATCGTGAGGCTTTCTTGAAAATTGGACTATGACGGAGCGCCTCCATTCGGTTGGGACAGTTTCCTGCTCCCACAGTTATACTGGTAACTCATAAATCATCCACAAGAGCAGGTCCTCCGAATTTGAAGAGGGCTGGAGGTAGATCATCTGGTCCCGCGGCTTTATTAAACTTCAACAGTGCGACCTACGTTCGACTTCAGGGCGAGAGGGTAGATCAAAACGGACAGCCCAGGGAGCGGCGCGATCAGTGGCCGGCCAGAAATCTAACCATTCAGCCTAACGCTGCAAGTGTTTTGATAAGTTGTAGATAGGATGTCCACTCTCGTCACGTATAGTTTCACTAACACCAGGTCTCCTGCTGCCCGTTTCCCCTATCAGCCAGAATAACGGTTACCAAGGGCAGTAGCCATTTCCATCTCTGAAGCACGATGAGACCACCAGGATTCGCGGTCACTCTTCAGACTAGCACGGAGTTTTGCCCGGAGCTCTTTGTGAGTCTCATTATGTTCGCTTCCAGCCGGAATATGCCGGCGAGCATCGATAAGTTCCTGAGACTGCGAAGAGACCCAATGTCCATGTTGACGATTAGACTTAGCACATGAGGATTTTCCTACTGCTGGTAAGGACTGGTGAATATGAAAGCAGTGAGCTTCAATTGCATCCAATGAGTTCTTACTCAACTCGCATAACAGCGTACTTTGATAAGCATTCAGAACAGCTGGTTTCTCCAGTTGGCTGATGTCGGTTCGCTCACAACATCGTCGTGGGCGTCCGCCAAAGCGCATCCCCAGGTCAGCACACACAAGTGCATGGTCGGTGTCCACACCTGTGCTCCAAATCAAGCGACAGTTCTGGACGCAGCCTCTCCATTGGTAACTTATCGCAATGTGATCGATTTGCGTCCATAACTACTTCGAGGCTGGTGGGCGCCAAGTCACCCACCGGCGGGTGCTGTGTCGAAAATTAGTGCTCGCAAGAAATAAGCGAGCATCTTCACACAAATGAATTAACCGCTCGCCGTTATCATTACGGGACTCTACACCATGTGGGCCACCCAGATGCAGTTCATCAGTGGAAAATTTTTCAGCTTGAGCGTTCAGATCCCTGGCCAGCACAACAGTGTCCGAGCTTCTTCTGTGGTGAAGAAGCTCATTCAATTGACGATAGAAGTCGTCTTTTACTGAATCATCGCCAGAGTTTGTGGGTGCATATTCAGCGATGACCAATAGATCCCTGGTAGTCCCGCGCGACTTCGAAGCTTTGAACGAGCCAGCCAATCGGACCGCACACATCCGGCTACTGATTGGAATCCAGTCAGCCAGAGCTGCTTCAGTCCGAGGACTCAGGGTGATACGAACACCGGCTTGGCCGGTGCTTGAAGCTGCATCGTCACCGGATAGGCGCACTGAGAAAGTGCTGCTGGTGTGACGTGAAGGGGATCGCAAAATGTGCACAGAGCTCGAGTGTTGCAGGCGGGTCTCCGATAAGCAGCAGATATCGATCGAGAGGGTCTCTAATGTTCGGGCAAGTGCTGCCTGTTGACCGATCTGAAGCAGTGTGCGTACATTGAGGCATGCTAATCTGAAGGATGATCGAGGGCTCCAAATGCAAGTCGATGAACTGGGCTTGGCCGCTTGGTTGAACACGGGCTTGTCGACAGGGCAGCTATATTAGCACCCGTGGGATTGAAGATGAGGTTACGAACCGTATAGCAAAAGCTCGAGGTGCTTTTGCCAATCTCCGCCACCTGTGGCGCAGACGCGACATTACTCTCGCCCTGAAGGGCAGAGTTTACAACGCAGCCGTCCGTTCAACTCTCCTATATGGCTGTGAAACCTGGCCCATCAGGTCGACAGACATGAAGAGACTCGTCACATTCGATCATCGCTGCCTTCGCAGCTTAGCTCATGTCTGGTGGGAACACCGCGTGAGCAATGAGCGTGTTCGGCGTCGCGTATTTGGTACAGGAAGAGCGAGTGAACCGCTCAGCACGATTATATCACGCACCAGGCTCCGATGGCTGGGCCACGTCTTGCGCATGCCAGCACACCGACTCCCACGACGTGCTTTGTTTGCGCGTTGTGGGTGCGGTTGGAAGAGGGGAGGCCAAGTGATGACTTGTTCGAGAGAAATGAAAACCCTCACTTCGAAGTTGGCGTCGGTTGGTGCATCCCGACTGCCTGGTTGGGGTCCTAAGGATGGTGAACACGTTTGGTTGGACACACTTGCTGATATGGCTAGGTGCCGACCCCAATGGCGTTTGTGTTGTGAGTTCCTTTGTCCATCCCCCTCCTGTTTAGCATCCCCCTCCAATCACGATCTCAATCGTTTGGCATAATATGACTTTCTTTTACGGCAGCCAGCTGTTAGCTCTCCGGAACGATGTCCATCCGTTACTGGGGACTCAGCGGGCGTGCCACTGTTTGTTGTTGTTGTTGTTGTTGTTTTCTTTTCTTGCCTTTTGTATTGCGGCACAATAGCTGAGGTGTTTTCCACCTCCAGCTAACGTGTAATGATGATGATGATGATGATGATGTCGACAGGGCAGGAATGACGCTCCGTGTTCACATGTGAGTTGAAACCAGAAGGTAAAAGCCTAGCAAAGCATGGTGGGGGAGGGCCAAGAATTGGGGGTTTGAAAACGGGGGATAAAAGTGAAGCTGGAACGAGACGGTAAGAGAGAAAAAGCGTAATAAGGGGAATAAGAAGATGGGAAGGCTTGAGCAGTGGCATCCAAACCCCTATCCACCCTACTCGATGCAGCGGATAGGGCACCGTTGATTATCCTCTGCGGTGGCCAGAGCATCAAGAAACTGTTTGGAGAGAAATTCATCGTATTGCGTGAGCAGGATACTGTCAGGTTGCCCAGGCCTAGACAGGAGAACGATTAGGGTTCTCAACCAAAGCCTTTGGTTCAAAAACCTGACCGCAAGTCAGCGGGTTTGGCGTTGGGCTACAAGGAGTCCGTTCTAAGTAATAAGGAGCCACCCTCATTTCAACCCCCAACCGAGAGGACCAGGAGGCTGAGCTTGTCTGGCCTCTAACCATTGACCAATCTGGTATGAGTGGCTCTGAATGTGCAAAAGCACCACGCAGCATAGCTCAATGGATCACTGAGGCACACAAACCATCGCACCACGGTAAGGTCTAGCCTCATTGCTATCTAACGTGCCAAGCAGCACCTGACAGATTAGCACCGGCTTTCAGTCGTTTCGGGCTTTGCTTTGCACCCAAGTACAAAGCTTTCCTCCTAGATTGGCCTTGACCGCGTCCTGCACTGATTCTTGGTGGGGGTTAGCTACGGTTGTAGCCTCGGCTCCCTGGTTGGGTCCCGGAAGATAGTGAATGCAGCTGGATGCGCTTGTTGATATGGCTAGGAACCACTTTAAATGGCGTTTATGTTATGAGTTTCTTTGTCCCTCCCACCACCATCTCATCTCGGCAGAACTGCGGCTGTTAGCTCTCCGGAACGATGTCTATCCGTTACTGGTGGCTCAGCTGACGCGTCTCTGTTGCGTCTTTTTTTCTTCCCATGTATTGCAGCACAATAGCCGAGGTGTTTCGCACCTCTAACTATTGTGTATAATGATGATATTAATGACACATCAGGGACTGCTAGTGCAGAAAACATGGGCAGTGATTGGTTCAACGATGCGATTCGGATGGAACACTCACGTGATTCTTCCATCATTCCAATCCCACCTGAGCTTGAATTCGCAGTCAGTTATTGTCACAGACAACGTTGCTAGCTGATCCATCCAGTGATCACCTCATTGCAGTACGTCAGAAAGTGTCTTTGTAGTATGCCAACAGGTAAGATGTCGAGTTTCGCCTTGAAGGCCAAAGTCGTTCCGTCGTATCTTTGCCTTCTCATTTCGTTTATTGTTAGAGCAGCCATCTGCCGTTTGTTTTAACGCCATCGATCCATTCACCTTACACTTGGTCTTCCATCAGCAGATGTACTAATGGCTCCTAGCTCGCCACGAGGTGTAATTCAGGCGCAGCCTCCATTCAGCTCCGACTCTTAATAGGTGGTTATGAGGATGCTGTCCAGCCGCCTATGAAGTATTTGTGTTGCCTTTCAGCCCCATCTGTCTATTACGACTCACGGAAGTTCTCGGAACCCTCGACGGTACTTATCATGTCTGCCACTTCTGTTCTGAAGGCTGCTAGCACTGAGCCTGACCAGGCGAAACGAATCTCAATATATCAAAACATAAGTGAGAATGTTTCTTTTCTTCCCATATGACAGTCAGGACGACTGTTGCAGATTCAGATGAGGTTGCTGTGAAAGCCAAAGAGCAGGCCATTCTTGAGCTGGGGGACATTCTTGCTAAGAATTCAGACGCTAAAGGTGAGCAACAGCTTTTGGTCTTCGAGTTATAACTATCCTTATATCATGCTATGCTTTGGGCTTACTTGCCAGAGCCCAACAATTAACATCGTATCACTTTGGTTATCCAACTAACTGACGAATCATCTCGACACATACCGTACTACTATCGCAGGGCGTTTTGGCAATCTTTCGACTTCGATGTGATTTCGATGCTTCATTTTGAATACTGAAGGTTGCGTTGACATTCCTCTGAGGTTTTACACAGTGGAAATTTCGCTCACAAAAATACTTAGCAGATAATTTGGCTAATGTCAGTTTTTCTGCTCTAATAAATATTAGGTCGATGCTTATCTGGACGAAGTATTACCCTGTAAGGTACACCTACATAATGTTTCGTTGTCTCTATCAGACTGGCTGTTTTTTTACTGTTATCTTGTTTAGTAACCCGTGTTGCATCCCCTTTTTATCTGATTACCTTCTTGTCTGCTGCTATGCGGACAACACTTGTCCAATTTTGCGCGCAACATTATTTCTTAATTATCGTCGTCCAGTTTCTGTATTATGTTGACTACGCAGGATGGCGTCATTGTTTTTGTCCCGGGTTTTTAGACGCACGAGGCTTGCTCAGTTTGGGACAAGGCAAGGTGTGATTTGCCAATAACAAACGAACCTGGCGATATGCACTGCGACGTTCGCAACAGCTAATTCTACTATCTCTGTATCGGTCTAAATGCCCGAGGCGTACGCGTTGCTATGTACAAGCGAAAACTTTGTTTTTTATTTGTGTCAGTTGCTACGGTCCTTGGTGACACCTTCCAGCTGTTTTTATTGGCAATCACCAATCGGTTGATGCCAGGTCACGAAGTGTGGAACATGCAGTCGCTGTGGCCACCACTGTTGGCTGCAAGGTGGATTTGTCCATTAAGTTCTTTTCGGTCGTTAACGATGGCATTATTAAGGTCACCATACACAACAACCTTGGTAACCAATCTGTAACACTGACCATCATGTCATGTGCTCCGGTTGCAGCGGACCACATTGATACAGCTGTTAAGGATAGCATATTTGGCTCTGTCAAGAGCCGTGTTCTAGGTCTGTGAGTTCATTAGACTGAGATGAAAGCCAAGAAGTTGCGCAAGCCCTCTACTAAACTTGGAGCTAAGATTATCCCAGCTCCGGACAGAAAACATGAGATTCCGTCGTCATTCGGTTGTTCGGAGGTAACAACACCCTTATGTACTGCTAGCCAGTCGAATGGGTTGGCCATCGCGGTTTCTGATAGCGTATCAGGTTCGCCTCAATCCGACGCAGTCACGGATCCCTGTGCCCGTTAGAAAGAAAAGGAAACAAACTTGATCAGTTCGCAAGCACTCTATTAGGCTAAAAGGTGCAACAAATGATAAGGCGCTGCGATTAGAGTTAAAGACTGAAGCTACAGTTGCTTCAGCGTCTTCTGAAAGGAAGGAGGCAGTGTCACTACCAGCGACAAAGCCACCTGGTGTTGATATGGTATTGAAAGCCCCTTAGGTAAACGCCCCCGCCGTGTCAGTTTTTACGAAGATAGTAGCCTTATACTCCGTAACGTGGTGAAATCCAAAAGCATTCTTCCTGTTTAGTGCATGTTGGATGACATTGGGTTGTTTAAACAGTTTCTGATCAAGCTACTTTTACCGGATTTTCTCTGTGTTACTGTCAGGAAGTTGACTAGACTGGGGACTATCCCATTTGGTACGCCTTCTCCCCGACCACGTCTACTTGGCATGATCCTCTCTACGGAGGAGCGCAAAGCGCTTTTGCGATTTGCTTTTAAACTCAATGATAGTGATAAATGTGCGCAGTCGAAAATTCCGCTTGCTGGTAGGCTAAACCTAAAGGTCACCAGAGATCTCAAAAACAAGAGACTCGCCAATGAGCAGGGTTTGGGGTTTTAAATTGGTTAGCCGACGGCTCATTTCCGCTCTACCGCACCCCGCTCTGATAGTGCTCGATCCAGTACAGGTCATACCGAGTGGCTTCAGATAGTCTTTAGCATTGTGAGTATGAGTTATACCAACTTCTAAGTTAGTCTCATTCCTATATCTTGCATCCGGTCCATAGCCGAAAGGATTGCACACCTGCGTTGTAGTCTGGTTATCACCGGTTTGTGTCTCCCTAGGTGCGGGTGACATCGCGGTTTGCCCAGCACTCCCGCGATTGGTGGTGGTCGCGTAATAACGAAGCGTCAGCACGGTGTGCCGGCATACTGCGCATGCCTTCTTTTTTCTTGCATTCAATGAAACGTGTTTGTCTCAGGATGTTACAGACGGTGTAGTACATCAACCTCGCTGCGCGCTGTTTAGGTCTGATTGCATCGCCGATTGACAAGACGGGGGTATCGTTCTGTACGTGAGTTGCAAACTTGAGAACCTGATTGTTTCAGTCAGTGGACAAAACTGTCGAAGCTATAGCGGATATGGCTAGCACTTCCTCCACTCAATCCACAGTTGTAGTTGGGTGTAGAAGCCTTGGGAGCATTTTCAATGGAGTGTTTGGTTTTATTCGCTTTCGGACTGCTAGCGGATATCTGCCACTGGGCGATTTCAACATCCCGGAAGTTTATTCTATTGGTCTTTGCAACGCAGCGCCAGGTGCAGATCTCGAATTTACGCCACAAGTACCGTTGCATCAGTTCATTGGCATCCCCGTTAAGCGCATGGACGCGCACCTACCATCTATTCTTGGCCTTGTTTTCGCCGTCACTTGCTTTCATAGGTGATATTACTTATGGCTCATTTCCGAGAGCTATTGATCGCGTTTATTTGTTCTGTAGTTCTTCTGTCTGGACTTCATCGGATTACCGTTGGTTTATATCCAAACATATGGTATACAAGCTAACAAGCAATGCGAATTATGACTTCAGTTCTGCTTTGTTACTTCTCGGGGGCTGATACTGTTCAGGTGGCCTGGCATAGGTTTTTATCATATCACAGAGCCAAAGAAGACACAAGTACACCCCCTAGAAGATTCTACTGACAAGTTAATGCACGTGAAGTTATCTACGTAGCTCCATTAACCAGCATCTATAATGGCTACCGCAAAGTAAGGAATAGGTGCAAGCAGCACCTTATGACTGTTCGGCTGTTGTACGGCGCATTGGGCGCTGCAAAGGGGGAGGATAAAGGTGTTTGGAACGGGACGATGCGATGGTGCAGTTGTTTGTGTGCCTCAATGATCCATTGAGCTATGCTGGGTGGTACTTTTTTGCACCTTCAGAGCCACTCATAACAGATTTGCCAATGGTTAGAGGCCAGACAAACTCAGTCTCCTGGCCTATCACTTTGGGGATTGGAGTGAGGGTGGCTCCTTGCTCCATAAAACGGGCTCTCTGTAGTCCAGTGCAAAAACCCCGCTGCCTTGCGGTAAGGTTTTTGTATCAAAGACTTTGCTTGAGAACCCTAATCATTCTCCTGTCTAGGGCTGGTCAACCCGTCAGTATTCTGCCCATGCAATACAATGAACCTTTCTTCTAACGATTTATTGATGCTTTGACCGTCGCAGAGGATAATCAACGGCTCCCTATCTGTTGCGTCGAGCAGGGTGGATAGAGCTTTGAATGCTACTACTAAAGCCTTTCTGTCTTCTTATTCCTCTTCTTGCGTTTCTTCGTCATTATCGTCCCGCTCCAACTTTACTTTTATCCCCCCCCATTTTCAGTCCTGTAATTCACGGCACTCCTCCACTTTGCTACAGTAGTCACTTGTCTTCTAGTTTCAATTCACACACAGTCGCAGGCCGTCGCTCCAATCCAGTCGACAAGTCCGCTTTCAACTAAGCGGACAACGTCAATTTCTCCGTTTCCCTTTGGAGTCCTTGACCCTCGCTAAGACTGGCATGCCTTAACGTGCGCACTTTGCTACAGATTGGTCAACAGACAGCAGTTGCCTGGACACTAGATATCCTATCGATCGATATTTGCTTTTACTCAGAAACCTGCCTGCAGGATTCGGGCTCCGTGCTTGCCCTGCGATCCCCCACATGCGACACTGACGGCACATTCTCATTGCCCCTGTCTGGCGATGATGCAGCTTTAAATGCCGGTCAAGCTGGCGTCGGCATTGTTTTGAGTCCCCGGGTTGCAGCTGCCCTGATCGATTGGATCCCAGTCAACAGTCGAATGTGCGCCGTTAGATTAGCTGGTTCGTTCAGGGCTACGAAGTCGCTCGGGGACAAACGGTGCTTGCCTGTCATTCCGGCCTACGCCCATACAAACTGTAGCACTGATTCGGTGAGATGATTTCTATCACTAAACGCTTTTTTAGTTACAGTGGAAGCACGGATACTGTGGTGTTGGCTGGTGATATAAACGCCCAAGTCGGAAAAGTGTCCTCTGGTGAGCTTCATCCAGTTGGCCAACATGATGTAGGCTCCCGTACTGATAACGGTGAGCGGTTCCCTACATCTGTATGCAGATGCTCGTCTCTTTCTCGCGAGCTCAAGCTTTCGACACAGCACCCGTAGAAGAATGACTTGACGCCCACCAGCCTCTCACTAGCCGTGGACGCAAATCGATCGTGTCGCGAGCAGTTACCGCTGGAGTGTCCAAAACTGTCGCTCGATTTGGAGCACGCGCATGGGCTCTGAACACGCACTTGTCTGCGCCGACCTCCGGATGCCTTTCGGTGGACGTCCATAACGTCACTGTGACCGCACTGATACCAGCCAGCTGGCGAAGCCTTGTTCTGAATATGTATCAAAATACGCCGACATCCTGGCTGAGTAAGCGCCTACTGAACACCGTTGAAGATTATTGAATGCATATTCGCCAAACCTTACTATCATCAGGCAAATGAAATTGTCAAACTGGCCATTAGGACTCTACACAGTCTCTGGAAGTTATGGATGCTCGCCGACGTATTCCGGCTGGAAGCGAATACAATGAGACTCGTAAAAATCTGAGGGCAAAACTGCGTGCTAGCTTGAAGAGAGACCGCGAAGTCTGCTGGTCTTATCGTGCTTCGGAGATGCAAACGGCCCCTGCC